GTCTCTGGAACTGCTGTAAAAAAGGAATTTTTACCATTTGCAACAGCATGGATGAGTCGAGAGCATTATGCTAAGCAAATAAGCCAATAGGAGAAAGATAAATACCACATGATCTCACTCATTTGTGATATATAGGGAACAACATAAACTGATGAACAAAAATAGATCCAGAGGCAGAGAAGCATTGATCTGTCAAACCTCAGAGGGAAGGCAGGGAGGGGGTAAGAGATCAACCAAAGGACTTGTATGCATGCACATGAGCATTACCAATGGACATGGTCACTAGGGGGTGAGGGCATTTGCTGGGGGGTGGGAGTGGCCGGAAAGAGGTCAATGGAGAAAAAAAAATAATAGTGTAATAGCTATGTATGGGCCGGGGCTGGGGGAGGATATTTGAAATATTAGGGGGCCACTCGGTAAAGTATATGATTGTCTAACCACTATGTTGTGCACCTGAAACTAATACAGAATAATATTGAATGTGAACTATAATGGGGGGGAAAAGATGGAAAATTGTATATGTTTTTCATCATCATAAAAAAAAGAGAAATGGCATAGAGACTTTAAAAAAAATACCAGCCCTAACCAGTTTGGCTCAGTGGATAGAGCATCAGCCTGTGGACTCAAGGGTCCCAGGTTCGATTTCGGTCAAGGGCATGTACCTTGGTTGTGGGCACATCCCCAGGGGGGGGTGTGCAGGAGGCAGCTGCTCTATGTTTCTCTTTCATCGATATTTCTAACTCTCTATCCCTCTCTCTTCCTCTCTGTAAAAACAACAAAAAAACCCCAAAGATCAAAGAAACCAAGAGCTGGTTCTTTTGAAAAAATAAACAAGATTGATAAACTTTTAGCCAGACTCATCAAGAAACAATGAGTGAGGACCCAAATAAATAAAACAGAAACAAAAGTGGTGAAGTAACCACTGACACCACAGAAATACAAAGAATTGGAAGTAAATACTATGAACAACTATATGCCAACAAGTTGGACAACTTGGCCAAAAGACCAATTCCTAGAAACATAAAATCTTTCAAAACTCAATCAGAAAGAATCAAAAAAGCCTGAGAGACCAGTAACAACTAATGACATTGAAGCAGTGATCAAAAACACCCAGCAAACAAAGTCCTGGACCAGACAGCTTCATAGGCGAGTTTTACCAAACATTCAAAGAACTAACACCTCTTCAAACTATTCCAAAACTTCAAGAGGAGGGAAGACTTCCAAGGTCTTTTAACAAGGCCAGAATTATCCTAATTCCAAAACCAGACAAAGACAACACAAAGGAACTCATAGGTCAATAACCCTGATGAACATGGGTGCTAAAATCCTCAACGAAATACTAGCAAGTCGCACCCAGCAACACATCAAAAAGATCATACCCCATGACCAAGTGAGATTTATTCCAGGGATGCAAGGCTAGTACAATATTCGCAAATCAATAAATGTGATACATCGCATAAACAAAGGATAGAAATCACATGATCATATCAATAGATGCAGAAAAAACATTCGACAAAATCCAGCACCCACTGTGGGACTAGAGGGGTCATAACTCAACATAATAAAGACCATAGGCGGCGGGCTAGAGAAGGTCAATGGGAGGAAAAGGGAGCCATATGTCATGCTTTCAACAATAAAAATTTAAAGCTAAAAAAATAAGGCCATATATGACAAACCCACAGCCAACCTCATACCCAGTGAGCAAAAACTAAGAGCATTTCCCCAAAGTTCATTTTATGGGGCTCCTGGGTGCAAGGCTGGAGGACCCAGGACAGGTCTGGGAGCAGCGGACCAGAACCAAGCAGCCACTTGTGACCAAGAGTTGAGCACATGTAGGCTACAAAACAAAGCCTTTCTACCTCCCTTCTCCCCATCCCCAAGTTAATCCACCCGCTGGACCTGGCTTCTAGCGGTGTCTCCTGCTCCCTCCTGTCCCACCCGCCACTTCCCACCTTACAAGTGCATCTCTGTCCCGGGCCAGCTAGGAGGCAGATCCGATGAGGATCTGTGTGGCCTTTGTTTCTCGCCTGCGATTCCAGGCACTTACAGCTGTGTTATTTGTTATCCAAGGAGGGCTAGCCCTCTGTCTCTGACCTAAGTGAACCCTAGTTGAACCTGCCCGTCTGTGTTCACCCGCAGGCTGCACGGGGGCAGGGGGCAGGGGGGTTGGCTGGTGCCACCCCTTAAAGTGCCCATTACAGAAGCAGCCAAACAGGTTTGCCCTGGCAGGAGTTAGTCAACCCCAATCCCCACGGACCCCATTTCGGAACAGTGAAGGTAACCTTTTTACAAATGGAAGGCTTTGGCCTGGCTGCTGTGGCTCAGGGATGACCCCCTGGTTGAGCGCTGACCTATGAACCAGGGGGTCATCCCCAGTAGGGGGCTTGATCCCCAGTGAGGGATGTGCGGGAGGCAGCCGATTGCTGGTTCTCTCCCTCTTCCTTCCTGTCTGAAATCAATAAAACCATGTTTTTTACTAAATAAATAAAATGTAAGGCCCTGGTGTAGATCAAGCATGTCAAACTCAAAGGCTCACACGGACCAAATAAACAAGGCATGCGGCCCACCAGCCGCGAGTTTGACATGCTCGGTGTAGATGCCTGCGCCACATTTCAATGGCAACGTGTTTATTTTGGGAGCTGCACCTGATGTGCGCTTCATTCGAGCCTTGAATTATATTGCGGTGTCTCCTCGTTGCTTGGGAACAGCGGGATTCACCCCGAAACAAGGAAATGCTAAGAGCCGTTCTCCCAAACAGAGCAGAAGGGCACCTGGCACAGACGGCACCCCACATGGGACTCAACACCAAGGCAGAGACGTGGTACTTTTCAGTCTTTTTTTCCATTCCAATGCCTTTGGGCTCACCACTAACCTTCGTTGGCTAAGCCCTCAGGTGGTAAAGAAGTCATGGCAAACCTGAACTTAATTATGCAGCCTTTCCCACATTTTCCCAATGAATCTTGATTGAGGCCGGGGGGAGACTGTAGGTTTCTAAATGGCCACGTACGTGACCCCATGAAGGTGGCACAAATAAACGAGCAGGCAACTGGCATAAGTTCAGACCCAGAACTTGGACCCCCACTCCCCGACCCCTTGCATAGCATTTAGGACCCAAAGGAGGGAGCACTTACCTCTTTCCCATCACTTCCCAGACGTGAGGGCGGTTCTGCTCCAGGAGCCCCTCCGGCCGCACAGCTCGGATGCCTTCTGGCTGGTGGCTCTGAGGTCCCCCAAGGAACTCAATCACCCACACAGTCAAACTGTCTCCCATCACCCGCCCGCCCTGTGGGGCGCGGAAAGGAGAGAAGGTGGGCACGAAGCACCTCCTTCTAAGGGCGCTGCCTTGCTGGGGCTGAGAAACATGGCGGTGCCTTGTAGTGTGGGAGGCAGCCCAGGCCCAACCACAGCTCTGGAGGGTGAGGGCCCTGAGTTACGGACCCTGGAGCCTGGTCCTGGAGGACTTGGCACAGCCGTCCCTCGTTTAACAGAGCGTTTCTGTGCCTCTCTATGCAGGAGCCTGTGTACTTTCAATAGTTGGATTTTCCAAACGATGGACACGTTTTGTAACTCATCCCCATACTCTTGTATCACCCCCGGGGCCTCTGGGCCTTTGGTGACGTCCACCTTCCCAGCCTCCCCTCCATCGGAAACAGGTGTTTCCTCCCCACTCACCAACTAGGGAACAACAGCCTGCAGGTGGGGGAGCTTGCCTCCTCGCCCCCACCAATGGATCCAAACCCTCTCTCCTCCTTTCCCCTGCAGAAGCCCCCGCTCGGGAGCAGTTGCCATCCGCTGTATCACCTGTACTCACCCTCAGACCAGCCACCACCAAGACATTGAACCCCTTGTTCCGTCTCTCCCTCACCCCTGCTCTGTGACTTCAGCTTCCACGTGGAAACCCCCCAGCAGTGACCGCTCAAATCCTGCCCCTCCTCACTCGGAACTCTTTCCTCACCACACACTAAGGCCCACTCTCACCATCCTGCCTTGGACCTTGCCATAGGACAATCAGCACACTACCCCAAGATATGACGCTTGACCCCTCACTCTCCCATTCATTCTTTTCATCTTCCCAGAACGCTTACTCTAGGACAGTGATGGCGAACCTTTGAGCTCGGCTTGTCAGCATTTTAAAAACCCTAACTTAACTCTGGTGCCGTGTCACATATAGAAATTTTTTTATATTTGCAACCATAGTAAAACAAAGATATTTCTGATATTTATTTGATATATTTAAATGCCATTTAACAAAGAAAAATCAACCAAAAATTGAGTTCGCGTGTTACCGCTGACACGTGTGTCATAGGTTCGCCATCACTGCTCTGGGATGCCTACTCCTAACTTTCCAACACGTCAACTACAAATCCACCAACTTCATGTTTTTATTATCCACCATCCCCTTCTGCGCTAGGATGCCTACTCCTAACTTTCCAACACCGTCAACCACAAATCCACCGACTTCATGTTTTTATTATCCACCATCCCCTTCTGCCCTTACTTTTGTCCTTTTGTTATTGGCTTCCTTCACATGTCTTAAGCATGTCTTCAAGGTTCCTCCATGTAGTAGCATGTTATCAGAATGTATTCCTTTTTTTAAAAGGCTGAATGAGCCCGGCCGGTGTGGCCCAGTGGTTGAACGTTGACCCATGAACCAGAAGTCACAGTTCGATTCCTGGTCAGGGCACATGCCCAGGTTGCAGGGGGCATGCAGGAGGCAGCCAATAGATGTTTCTCTCTTATCGATGTTTCTCTCACTCTCCCTCTCCCTCAAATCAACAAAAATATATTTTAAAAATAAATAAATAAATGGCTGAATGATATTTCATTGACTACATGTGTCACATTTTGTTTATCCATTCATCCATCTGTAGACACTCGGTTGCTTCCACATTTTAGCCATTGAGAGCAATTCTGCTATGGACGTGCGTGTGCAAATACACCTTCTTCCAACACACCCAGAAGCAGATCCGCAGGATGATGCAGTTGTTCTAGTATCAATTTTCTGAAGAAACTCCATGCTGTTTTCCACGGCTGCACCACTTTGCATTCCCACTAGCAGTGCACACGGGTACAGTTTCTCCGTACTATCGCCAACACCGTAGTTTGGTTATTTGGGGGGGCGGGGGGCAGGATAGGCATCCGAAGGGTGTGATCTTTCTTATTTCCTTCCACTAGCTTTGGGTTTCCTTTGTTCTTATGAATATAATTCATTTTTAAATCCTGCTTCCTGTCATCCCTAACTTCATTCCCATCCTCCAAACACCACAGCACATGTGTCCTGCCTTGTATAATGGTGAGTTGTGCAGGTTTTTCTTGCCCTCCCCGTCTGCAGGCTCAACAAGGCCAGAATTCATGTCTGATTCGCTTTTGTAGCCTTGTTGATCAATACGTTGATCATAAGATCAAGTAGCCATTCACTGCCCAGTGTACGTGAGGTACTGTGCCAAGTGCTTTCCATACAGCCTCATGTACTCATCCCACAACCTCCCCCTTTTACAGATGAGAAAACTTAGGCTCAACGAGAAAATAACCTGCCGAACTACAAGGCTCTTAAGTAACAGAAACAGGATGCAAGCCCAGGTCTGTGTGGCCATAAAGACCATACTTCCCTATATCCCTCTTGCTCCATTCATGTATTCAATCAGTATCTATTAATAATCTATCACATGTGTCAGGAACTGTTGTACTTCCTGCTCTTACACATGCAGCCTAGAGACTGAGGCAGACACTGGAGACAAAGTGGGCGAAGAAAACCTTTTATTTCTTTATGCACGTTTTGCTCTAACAGCCCCCCGGAAAAGAGTTTCATTTCCTCCCACAGATCCTGTCCACCAGTCATGTCAGCCTTCAATCTATCGCTATAGCAACATATATAAATACATATCATACAGCTATACACACATACACACGTTCTGAAGCACCGCGGAGACAGGCTAGGCAGGCTGTAGCACAACCGTCTCTCACGTGCCACCTACGAAGGTCACTGGTTTGCTTTACACGGACTTTCAATGGCTTGGCCTGGCCATGTGTTCCCAGTCCCCGGAGGGAAATGCGGTGATAGTGGGACCGCATAACCAGCGTGAGGCCGGCACACTTTGGAGATCACGGGAGAATAAAGGAGGGTGCTGGCTAAGCGGGAGGTGGTATCCGGGAGTCGCCCCTTCCACCGTGAGGATTGAAAGGACGCACTGCTGCTGTTCGGGTGGATGCCTGGTGGCCTGGGACCAGCTGAGCTGGCCCCGGGCAGGCATGGCTCTGAGTGCTGCTGCTGAGCCCACTGCCCAGCAGGGCACCGCTGCTCCATGTGTGCTTCTGGGTCTGCCGAGCAGCTCCGTGTCGGGACCACATGCCCATCGTGGGGAGCAGGGTCCTGGTTCCCCTGAGTTGACTGAGGTTAGCTGCTGGGGCGATGTGCGGCTGCGGGTCCCGTGCCCCCAGGGCTTTCACAAGCAGCGCCCCAGGTCCTCTACAAGCTACGCGGGTTTTGCTTCGTGATCAGCATGTTTAGCTTAGTGCTGGGCAGGGGGCTGGGCTGGTGTCTGTAAGAGCAGGGGAGGCCCCCGCCTTCCGCCCGCCCCACTGGCCACATCTGACTCCTTGACCCCCGCAGGAGAGGAGGAGCAGGGCTGGGATTCCTCAGCAGAGAGGCAGCTGCACGAAAGGGGGGCAGGCCCATCCTTCCTGCTGCTTTAAGGACCTCTGGTGGCTTCGCTTCTTGCATGGCTCCTGGAAGGCAAGGGTCACAAGGCTGGAGCGCGCGGCAGAGCCCTTAGGGATTTCACCTGCAGACAAAACCACAACCACGTGAGGACTGTTGTCCGGCCCTCCGGGGGCACTGAGGCTGCAGGGAGCTGAGTGGTGGCAGCAGCCAGCACAGCGAGGGCCTGTTAAGAGGAGGAGCCGAGGAGCTGCCCTGTGGCCGGGGAGCAAAGGGTGCCACCACGTTAGTGGGAAGGTCCCGCCTCCTCGCGCCAAGCCACCCTGCACCCAGTGGCCGGATCGACCACTCCCCTCAGGGGCCAGCTCACTCTCCAATTCACTTTGCAGCAAAATGATGGCTCTGCACTCTCCCAGGGAGAGAATGCTCAGTACGACACATGCACACACAGACACGGCGCGCTGTGGGAAGGAGAGGACACTGTGCGAGAGCCCCTCCTACTTGAGGAGAAAAAGGGGCCACATCAGAGATCATTTAGGTCTAGTGCCACCTCTTACAGCTGGAGGGCAGCCAAAGCCACACGCCTGGTTAGTGACAAGCCTGGGGTTGGAACCGGCCCGGCCCCTCGCCACCCTCGCAGGGGTGGAGAGAAACTTCCAAGCTGGGGGCCAGCGGGAGCTGAGCCGGTGGGTTACCTTTGCTGGGGCAGGAATAAGGCTTTACAGAGGCAATCCTGGAAGTGTTCTTCTAAAAAGGCTCAGGAAGGAAAGGAATCATTGAGAGAAAAACAAGAGGGAATTAGAAAAAGAAAAAAAAGAGGGGGCGGGTGCAGAGTTTAACCCATGTTCTCACTGGGGAACCCACCTTCTCCCCGGCTACCATTCAGAAATATGCTCGGCGGCTATGGCAAAGCAGTTAAAGTCCAGGTTAGAAGACTTGGTTTCTGATTGTGAAGCCATTTCCAGCATCTCAAGTTTTTCGGAAAGTACTTGCTAGGAGGTGTGTTAGTGCGCTCAGCAACTGTAGAGAACGTCTGCCGTGTGCGGCACATCTCTCCCTCTACGGTTCAACCTTTATTTATCAAATTCTCTTAGGTCAGTAAGACCCAACGGCTTTTTTGTGTGATATTGCTTAAAAGAAAAGGATACAGCAAAATCACATTGCTGTTTTCAGCCCAATCGTGTGCAGTGAATTCAACATATTAGGGGGCACTTGCTTTCATATTTTCATAAAGTAGCACAGAAAAGCCCGCGCACTCCACCGGCCTCAGGAGCCCTTTCCTGGGGCTGAGGCAGAGCCGACTCCCATGTGGCCTCTGACTCCAGAATCAACTGAGCTGCATTTCTCGGGGGCCCTGACCTGGCAGAAAAGGAGGAGGAAGTGGAGTAAAGAGAGAAGATGGAGCCCCCAGTGGAGGGCGGAGGGGGGGGACTAGGGGATGCCTGCTGACCGCGTGCTGACCGCCTGCGCTCCTCCGCGGACCAGGAGCCTGGTGGCCGGAGGGTCACCCGCAGACTCTGGCGACAGGTGCGGGTGGGTGTGTGGTGGTTTCCTTACCTCCAGATTAGTCCTTGCCTTCTTCAAGACATCGTGCGTCCTGGTCACTGAAACACAGAAGAGCCCAACAAGGCGGAGATTACCAGCAAGCGGGGCCCACGCTGGCCCTGGGTGTGTTCCCCAGTGTGTCTTCAGGCCAACTCAGCCTGGGCCTGCTGCTGCCCCCAAGCCCCACATCGCTCTGCATTCATGCTGATCGTGGCACAGGAGGCGGGGGCATCACATCAGTCTCCCCTCCCCTGCCCATCACAGCTCAGGGCGGAGTCCGCCCCCCCACCCCGGCCCACTCCCCTCCCGGCTCAGGCACCCACGCTGGCTGAAGATGAACTGCTCCAGGCTCTCCTTCTGCCGGCTGGCGGTCCTCAGGCGCTCGGCCGTGCTCTGGAGGAGGCTCTCCTGCCTGGAGAGCTTGGTTCTCAGCTCCAGAAGCTCCCTGGTCGCGGACTCTCCCTGGGGAAGAGGGACAGCTGGCTGTCGATGGTCAGAGGCCTACACACCCCATCTCGTGGCTCTTACAATCCAAAGCTGGATTCCTTGATCTTCCCAATGATTTCTGGAGAGGATTCCATGGAAGCCTCAAAACCCTGCAGTGCTGACAGCTCAGGATGAGCCAGCAGGTGGGACACTGAGGACCTGAGGCCCTGAGCCAGCAGGTGGGACACTGAGCACCTGGGAGTCCCAGCAGGTGGGACACTGAGCACCTGGGAGTCCCAGCAGGTGGGACACTGAGCACCTGGGAGTCCCAGCAGGTGGAGCACTGAGCACCTGGGAGTCCCAGCAGGTGGGGCACTGAGCACCTGGGAGTCCCAGCAGGTGGGGCACTGAGCACCTGGGAGTCTCAGCAGGTGGGACACTGAGCCCTGGGGGCCTGAGCCGGCAGGTGGGACACTGAGCACCTGGGAGTCCCAGCAGGTGGGACACTGAGCACCTGGGAGTCCCAGCAGGTGGGACACTGAGCACCTGGGGGCCTGAGCCAGCATGTGGGACACTGAGCACCTGGGAGTCCCAGCAGGTGGGACACTGAGCACCTGGGGTCCTGAGCCAGCAGGTGGGGCACTGAGCAGCCTGCAGGCCTACACTCCTGCTGCTGAGAGGACCTGACTCCAGGACAGCCCGAAAACTCCCGGCTGTGACCAAGAGCTCAACCTTAGTGCTGACGTCCTACATCACTGGGCATCACACGGAAGCCTGGTAATTAGGAATATTGTGCCTAGGGAGGCAGGGCTGGCCAGAGACTGTCTGCACTTTTGTAAATATTTGTGCCAACCGCAAGATGGCAAACCCCTCCCCCTTGGAATTAGCATAGGTGGGTCCCCTAGGTGTCGGCAGCTAGAATCTGGAGCTAGAAGCCCTGGAGGGGATTCTGACCTGCCTGTCCAGGTGCCGCCTACCAGGGAGCAGGCCTGAGGTCTGAGAGCACGGGTGGCTGACGCTCCCGGCCTGTGCAAGTCTTCACAGATAATGGCTGTTTTCTTACCAAGTGGAGAGAGCCTGCCCAAGAAATGGAAAGAGACAGAGTCCTGATAACATTGTTTGGTCTTCTAGTTCTACAATTCCTGACTGAGCCAGCAGGTGGGGCACTGAGCACCTGGGAGTCCCAGCAGGTGGGACACTGAGCACCTGGGGGCCGAGCAGCCTGCAGGCCTACACTCCTGCTGCGGAGGGGACCTGACTCCAGGACAGCCCGAAAACTCCCAGCTGTGACCAAGAGCTCAACCTTAGTGCTGACGTCCTACATCACTGGGCACCACACGGAAGCCTGGTAATTAGGAATATTGTGCCTAGGGAGGCAGGGCTGGCCAGAGACTGTCTGCACTTTTGTAAATATTTGTGCCAACCGCAAGATGGCAAACCCCTCCCCCTTGGAATTAGCATAGGTGGGTCCCCTAGGTGTCGGCAGCTAGAATCTGGAGCTAGAAGCCCTGGAGGGGATTCTGACCTGCCTGTCCAGGTGCCGCCTACCAGGGAGCAGGCCTGAGGTCTGAGAGCACGGGTGGCTGACGCTCCCGGCCTGGCCCAGAGATGCAGACTGAGTGCTCTATGGGTTCCAGCAGGCGGCCCTCTCACGGGACATCCTGGGACCCTGCTTGACTCTGTGGGTGGTGGGTGGGCGGGGGCATTGATACTTGAACTTGTCCCTGAACTTCTCAGCCCCACTTCAGGAAGTTAAAGAAACGGAGCATTTACGCTACCAGGCTTCTCCTGTCTCTCCCTTCTCTGCATCCTTTCTTTCCCCTTTGATTTCTATCCCGGGGGTTGGGCGGGAGGAGAAGGGATGTGGTCAGAATGGCACCGACAGCAGCCCCCACAGACAGAGGTCTCCCCCAGGTCCCGTCTATCTGACTCGCCCCTGGGCTCCTGATCTTCAGGATCTGCGGGGTTTGGGACGCAGCGTGGTAACTGCGGGCAGAACCAGAAAGGGTGCTGGTCTCTTACCGCTTTGCCAGGCAGCGCAGGGCTGTGGGAGCTGGGCAAGGCCGCCCGCCAGAACATGGTCAGGAGGGAGGCCGACTCGTCCAACACGTGGCCCAGGGCACTGGCGCTGCTGCGAAGTTCACTGACGCCTTCGCTGCCCAGCACCTGGGAGAGAGGGAGGAGCGCAGGCATCACTGGGGCTGAGAGATCACTTCCCCTAAGCACGTTGTCGGGATCTTAAGCTTTAAGCTTCCTTTGTGAGCGAGGCAGACACGGCCCTGCCTGCGCGAGGAAGCCTGGCCTGGAAGCCCAGCGCCCCGGCCTCAGCGGTGACCTCCCACCTGCAAGGACTCAGCGGGTCCCAGCTCCCCCCATTCTCTTTACTTCTAGTCCTGCTCCAAGCTCTGGAGTCTAAAGTCCGGAGGGGAGCAAACTATACCATGAGGGCATACTGATAAGTTAGAATTAAAGTTACTGGAGGAAGAGCAGGTGCAGGAAAGACACTCTGACCCTCCTCTGTCCCCCTGAAAAGAGGAAATAAATCTCCCGTGTGGATGGCAGGAGAGGGTGGAGGGGGAGGAGGGCATAGAGGGGATAAGTGGTGAGGGGAAAAGAAGCAATCCGTGAATGCGTGAGTAAGTGGGAGGAGCTAAAATCAGAAGACAGGGCCCTGGCCAGTGTGGCTCACTTGGTTGGGTGTCATCCCGGGCACCTGAAGGGTGCTGGTTCCCTTCCAGGTCGGGCACCTGCAGGGGTAGCAGGCTCCATCCCCGGTGGGGGGCATGCCGGAGGCAGCCAATTGATGTTTCACTCTCACACCGATGTTTCACTCTCTCTCTCTCCCCCTTCCTCTCTCTCTAAAAATCAATTTAAAATAAAAATCAGAAGTAAAAGGGCCCAGGACAGGGGCACCCAGGCACTGTGATGTGACTACCTTGGAGCCCCGAGCCTCGAGGCCAGGGCAGCCGCAGGTGGATCTCACGGCTGACGCGATCTTGCTGGCCAGCAGCCTGCCCTCCCCGATCTGCTGGCTCAGGGCGCTGTAGTCGTCGATGTGGCCGACCACATGGCGGCCGTGCTTACTGGCGAAGCAGCCGTCAGCAGCATCGCCCTCCAGCTTGGGAGGGCTCTTCACTCCATCAAAACCCAGATCTGGAAAATAAAGGCACGGCAAACCCACTGCTCACATCAACCCGAAACACACAACGAACGCTGCAAGGGCCAGGGCAGTCGTGGAAAAGCACGGGCGTGAAGTCCAGATGGTCTGGGTTCTGTGCTTTATCATCTTCCTTACATCATCTCACAATGATAGAATTGCGGGAGGCAAATCTTGTGTTTGTTGCACAAGAAATATTTGGGAGAAATGTTTTTAATTAAAACATTAAAACGTCTGGGATGAGAAGACAGAGCGGGAGAGGGGGCTGGATTCAGAGAGCACTTTCAGGAAGGGAGCGACTTTGTGCGATGAAGCAACAGCGGAGCAAAAGGAGACCCACAGGAGAAAGTGTAATGACAGGAAAGGCGGCCAGTGAGTGGCCAACGGCCTTGGGGCAGGCAGAGAACACGCCCTAAATTCAGACAGTGTGTGTGCAGAAACCCGAGGACTACCTGCAGTAACAACTTTCCATCACCAGCCCCTGTGCCCTCTGGTTGCCATAGTTACCATTTGTCCTACTGAGGAGGGCGGTGTCCGGACCAGGAGCCGTGAAAGAGCCCGGGAAGACCAGAGCTGGGTTCATGCCGACGTCCCGAACGGGAGGAGAGGCAACTGCATCTGGGGGTGAAGACAAGGACAGTTCTCAGGGGCCCTGGGACACGCTGCTCCCACGGTGCCAGGGGAAGGGAAGCCAGGCTAGAGAGCCTGGACCGCAGCAGCACCGAGAGGAACGCAGCCTGGAAATCGGAACCTCTGGTTCGGTCCTGGGTGGGATCTGAGCCCCATAAGCCTTAGCAGGTCAGTTAACGTGCCAATGTTTTCTCCCGCAAAAACAGCGTAAAACCTGCCCTGCCGCGGATGAAATTATTTGAAAACTTGTGGGAAGTTTTAAAACACTCTACAAATACAGGAGTCGTTAAGGCACATAGCTGCCAATCGTTGAGCAATTCTTACTGTGCCAAGCACTTGTAAATTATTTCACTTAACACTCCAAATCACCACACAAACTCGATATTGTTACCCGCATCTTAAAAAATGAGGAAAGGCAGCTTCAATACCCGAGGAGCTCAAACACCTGGCCCAGGGGAACATGGGTAGGTGGCACCTCAGGGTCGGAGGCAGGGCTGACTACACTGGAGCATCTGTGATGTCACCCGACCTTCACTAAGGAGCTTGGAGGAGGCAAGCTGTCCCTTCCACCACAGACGCCTGGCGGCCAGGCAGCTGGCTGCGGGCTTCCCCGTGCCCTTCCCTTCCTACCTGGGAGGGGCGGCTGCTTGTCTCCAGGGCCCGTGCTGGCAGGCGAGCTGTGGCTGCCGGCGGGGCCAGGGCTGGCTCTGCTGGCACCGTGGTCCAGCTGCTGCTCCAGCTGCAGCCGCAGGCTGTTGTTCACCTGAATGCTCAGCTCCAGCTGCCCTCTCAGGGCCCGGATCTCTGCCACCAGGTGGCTCAGGTCGCTGCTCAAAGGGACCTGGTGACAGGCATCCCAGGTGTGAGCTGAAAGCAGAGAGGGAGGGGTTGGTAGCTCTGATCCAAGTATTTCTCAGCATTTGTCAGACACTCCAGGACTTTCTCCAGGACTCACTGCCATCGCAGAGTCCCAGGCAACAAATACATCTGTGACGGGAAGGCCACTTGTCCTGTGTGGAGTCTGGCACACGCCCAAGTCTGACTTTTTCTGAAATTACCCCCATGCAGCTAGAGGGCATTTGATTGGCAGCTGAAGTCAAGCCTATCATTTCAACTCCATATTGACTTGAGTCCTGCTGGCTAGTGAGCAGGATCCTCCAAGACAGGAAGTTAGCACAGAACTAAAGAGGGGCAGGGGCTGGGGGAGGGGAGATTGATGACCCCCACACTCAGGAATCAAGGAGAGAAGGAGGAAGGCGCCAGACCTTTGGCAGCCTGTAACCATGGGAACCAGGCACCACAGACTAGGAGTCAGACCTGATTGAACTTTACCTTCTCCATGTTTTTTACCTCTACTCACTACACAGTCTGTTTGTAGCTACTGGGAATGAAGAGATGTGAGAAGTCATCTATAAGACCACAACTGCTTAGCTGAAAACTTTGAGGCCAAGTGTATTTGCAAAGGCAAAATCTGTTTTGGTTGCTAGCAAGGCAATGGGATGCATGTACCATGTGTGCCACACACAGTCCACGCACCCAGCTGCCCCTGGTCCATGGACCTTATCGGACGCATCAATATTTCTGCAATGACTTATGTGAATATTCTCACTAAGTGGGATAAGTGGAGACTGTGAACGCACTTTGTCAGTTCAGTTAGGTTTTGTCACCAAATGAGCACACGAGAAAGGTTTGAATTCAGAGCTCTTGCTGGATTATAGCATTAAGGATAAGGGGTTCTGGGGCTTTAGTGGAAGTAGCTTTGAAATGAATTCTAAAAGACCCACAAAAACGGATAAAGGCACAAAAGGGGAGGTGATTCGGGACACTAACCCAAAGTTCCATGATGCTCCTTCTTCTCTTTCTTTCCCTCCATCCAAATTCTCACACCATTTTGCTTATTAAAACATGTTTTTCATTTATCCATTCCCCTTTCTCTTCCTGAAAGCACCTTGGGTTAGTCTCTCATCACTTAGCACCCAGGACATCACTACACCCTTTCAGGAGGTTTCCTGACTCTAAGATCTTCCAGCTCCCACCAGGCCCACCAGTCTCACCCTCCCAAGATTTCGTTTCCACCATGGACCTATTTTGCTCGGAAAGATCGAACTCATTTTCCATCGCCTGCTTCACAGAATGTAAAGTTTCAGCCTCCCGGTAGGTCTTCTGTCTGCTGACAACTCTCCTTCGGCTGACCTGACTTCTCACCCCCCCACCCACTCCTCCAGGCAGGGAGGTCTCCCGGCCCAGTACACCCAGACTTCGTACATCAGCTATTCTCTCAGCCTCCTGGGCCCTCTGTACTTCTTCAAGTCCCAGTTCAGTAAAATTAGGAAACTCGATCAAGTTTTATGAAAATTCAAATTTGGCTGAAGAGTGAAAATTCTTAATATAATAAACCATATTGTTTATGGAATTTTAGAACATATCATCAGAAATACCTCAGGGCTGGAACACTCGGGGAGTCAACTCCTGTCCAAAGCAGGACTGCTTCTACGTCATCCTTGACAAAGCATCCCTCTCTACTGAAACGGGGCTTGGGAGGGGAGCTGACTCCTCCACAGTCCAGCCTCTCCACCACCGGAAGGCTCCAGGGACGAGGAAAGCGTGAACTGCAGATGCAAATCCCATCGCCCCTCACCCCGGCCCTCTGTTCCTCCCTCTGAAGAACACAGACACACCTGACAGTTCTTCAGATGTTCGAAGCCAGTCCCCATCTTCTCAGGATCTTTCCAAGACTAAACACTGTTAGTCTCTTCAACCAGTTTGAGATTTCTAGTCCCTCAGCCTCATGGCCCATGTCTTCAAGATGTCCCTTAGTTTGTCAATGTCCCTTTTACAAGACGGTACCCACAACCTGACAATATTTCAGACATGGTCTCACCATAGGGACACCACGCTTGCACCACGGTGGTCTCGGGGTGAGGTGGCTTCTCTATCAACCTTAGCCTACAGCATCCTTGTGAAATGTATTTCCACCTCACGCCCTCATCTGCGAGCCCATGGACAGCTACAGACCCGGGATTTCCACATCCTGTATTTCTACCACTATTTTTAATTATTTATTTTTATTAAATTTATTGGGTGCCACAGATGTTTTCAATCAAGCTCAGGACTTTTAAAAATTATTATTTCAGCAGGTGACAAATGTCTTAAGAGTTTAAAATTTAAATCCAGCCTTGAAATGTAGGTCGTATTAGTGGTATTTCCATAAAAACAATTCCTGTATCTTTTTATTTCTCACTGGGAAGGGGTCAGAGTGGGAACAGGCAGCCTGCTGCACAGGGCTGCATGGTGGTCGGGATGTATTGTTCACACTAGTGAACCTTTTCAACTGATGACACCATCTGGACACTTCAACAATATCGGTGTATCTCTGTGCACTTAAACAATATCGGTGTATCTCTGTGCACTTAAACAATATCGGTGTATATCTGTGCACTTAAACAATATCGGTGTATATCTGGACCTTGAGGAACTGGCTTCTGGCCTAGATGGTGGCCTCTTTTTAAGGATGTCTAGGCTTGACCTCAGGGTTGCACCAACTTCCGGGCTTTGCATACGAGAGCTCCCCTGTTTGGACTGGGAGCCCCAGGCCTGGCTGGCAGTTTTTCTGAGACAGGCTGTAGCTTTCCAGCACCTGTACACTCCAAGGTGAAGAAGACCCCACTGGGATCCTAAGCAGGGGCAGGAAGCTCATGGCCAGAAGGCGGGAGGGAGAACTCATACCTTGCGGCCCCTTCTTGGAACTGCTGTGAAGCGCCTCGTAGATCTGCAGCTCCGACTGGAGGGTCTGGAAGAGCTGCTGCTTCTCCGCGCACTGTTGCTGCAGGAGGGCCAACTTGTGCTGCAGCCTGCGGGGAGGAGCAGGGAGAGGGCGCTGAGCTGACAGGGCGCTGGGCCACACCAGGGCCACACCAGGGCCACACCAGGGCCAGATGCTGCGAGCCAACCTTCACACAAGAGAGGCTTTGCCCGAGCTGTCAACGCGGGGTCACAAAGCCCCTGGCTTTGATTTCACACGCGGGGGATAGAGGCTGGAGAGGGGACGTGACTCTGCTTGGAGTGGTGTTAGAGCTACAGTGGCTGGGACACACCAGCACAGCGTTCCTGCTGCCCCGATGCTCTTCTCACGCTGCCAGGCAGTTAGCGTTTAGGCTGGTGCCGGGGTTCCACCTTCCCAGAGAAGTCCCTCCTTCTGTGCACAACACCCATAAATCAGCAATTGCAAAGGGGAAACAGGTCCCCAAAAGGGGCCATTAACTGCCTTGCCAAGATCCCTTCTTCTACACCTGAAACTGGGGCCTCCTTCCTTATCAGGGAGCTCCCCTGACCTGGAGTCCTTCTCCTGGAGGGAGAGCCGCTCCTCCTGGAAATGCAAGATCTCCTGCTGCTTCTCCTTCAAGTCTTCCAGAAGCTGCTGCCGGTCCCCCTTCTGGTGCTCCAGCTCCACTTCCAGCTCTTGCAGCCGGGACCGCGAGGCCAGCAGCGCCTCCCGCAGGCACTCCGCCTCCTGCGAGTGCTCTGGTGAGCAGAACACAGGAGCGTTTAGACTGGGGGCAGCAGTCAGAAGGAAGGTCAGCCCAAGCACATCATCCGGCAGACAGAGCTAAGGCAAAAGGAAGGCCAGCGCATGCGGCAGCCGGCCCGGGTGTGTGTGGACAATGGGGCCTCGTCCTTGCCATGCCCTTGGTCCTCTGCTTGAATAAGGCCTAGTTGCTGTTAGAGAAAACACTCTGGTCTCTAACGCTAACTATTTTCTAAGGGCTCACAGCCTTCTGCACAATAGTCCATTCTTGAATTTTGCCAGAGATCAACAAGGTTTCCTCTCTACAGTTTTTAGTACAGATTACTGTCATCATTTTGAAAATAGGGACATCTGCTCTGGGCTTGTGGCATCTCTCTGATTCATTTCTTAAAGATCACGGACAAGGACTCTGAGAATAAGACTGCAGGTGCTGTCAGTCCTCCGGGTAGAATTCACCAGGGCCTGGCAAACTGTGCTCATTTAACTCTTCCATCTTCTCCCTGAGAGGTCTGTTCTAGTCTTTCCAGGCACGCAATGGTGCGTTAGTAACTGTGCCTTCTCTCTTATGTGTTAACCTTTATCTTCCCCAAGCAGTGACCTTTCCTCTCCTATCTTCTTGCTCTACGGTGGCTAATTTGGAAAAATCTATTGATACCTTTTTCTTTTTCCATAAGCATTCATTCATTCTGAGCTTAATCCTTTTGGACACTATTCTTAGTCTTCTATGACAATTTAATAAATATTAGTAAATAAAAATAATTTGTTATTGACAATTTTAGTGATCTGAGCAAGTCAATCAACACTAAGGTCAGCTGCACCTCAGGCCACATCAGAAATGATGCCCACCCATGGATGCCACCCATGGATGCCACCTATGGATGCCCACCTGTGGATGCCCGCCTGTGGGTTCCCACCAGTGGATGCCACCTGTGGATGCCCACCTGTGGATGACTGCCTGTGGATGCCCACTATGTAGATTGGGAAAGCTCTGGAAACATTTTACAGGCACCTCCAGACACAGTCATGAGGACTCCTGACCAGAAAGGAGCCTGACTGAGGAGTGAGGGGACGTGGTGAGGGGATGGAGATGGCAGCCCAGTACTGGGAGGGACACACGGAGCTGCAGTGAAATCAGGAGAAACGTGAGATTGTTTATAGGCTCTTAGGTTCCTTCCTTTTCTGGTTCGAAATCAGCTGTGCATTGGGGAGGTGGGACAGGTGCCGAAGTGGCATCCACTTTGATAGCCAGTGACTGGGCATCAGCAGGCGGGTTTGCACGGCAGGCGTGGTTCCCTAGGGCTATGTGTCCCTTCGGCCCCGAGGCTGAGGGCCCATAGGTGGCACCTCTCAGGAGCAGCCCGTTCCAGCCTGAGGATGGCAATGGGAACCTGGGTAGCTATTATTTCCACCTCCTCTCTCTGCTTCTCTGGTTGGCGACGGGTGTGGCCAGGGAAGACAGGCACCCGAGGTGACCAGTTCGTGGCTCTGACACCCACCTCGCGACAGGTGACTCAGCTGAGCCTGGAGGCTGCGGTTCTCCTCCCGAAGGGCCCTGTTCTCACTGTGCAGCTGAGCCGTGGGCTCCAGACCCTGACTGTAGCCGTTAGACGTGGATCCTGCCCCGGAAGAGAAAGCAGACAAGTTACGCATGTGGGTGGCAGCTGCTTTCAAAGCTGCCCCTTCTGTATCTCCAAAGACACTGTCCCACCCAGCAGAAAACCCTGAGGACTCAGGACTGGTCTCAGGACTGGGGGCCTAGGCCTGGTTTCCTGTCTTCCTCTCGGGGTTCTCGGCTACACTGTCACCTGCCCTGGCTGCCATCGCCAGGGCGGCTCGTTCCCCTACAGAGCTGCGCTGTGGGCCGGACAAGGTGTGTGGGAGGGCCGGCCTCCCAGGGACGGCAGCCGGGGGCAAGTGTGGGGAAAGGCCACCCGGGTAAGTGGCTGGGCGAGGGCCCGGAGACCTGGCCCCACCACCTGCCAACCACAGGACAGGGCGCAGAGGACTCAGCAGGCAGTGCGAGAGGACATTAGGAGGATGGGAAGTCCGGGGCTCTGGGACAGACCTGGTTGGTTCTGCTGTGAGGAGGTCACTCCCTGAGCTCCCTCCATCTACCTGCACAGTAAGGACAGTGGTACTTGCCCAGAGCCCTGCCTGGCTGTTTGCAGGCAGCACCTGTGTGAGCCGACCACTGTGCTCTGAATGCTGAGAAGCTCTGCCCAAGGGCCCTCCCTCCAGAAGCTCCCAGTTAGGACCCGAAACAGGAAGCCCGGCCGTCCTACCGCTCCCGCGGGCCGTGGAGCTGAGCCGGTGTTCCAGCTGCTCCCGCAGGCGGTCGTTAATGCAGATGGACTCCTCCAGGCGCTGGCGCAGGTTCCGGATCTCACCAAGGTGCTCCTCTAGCAGGTCAGCCCCTGCAGCCGCCACCAGGGCAGGAGAGAGGTGGGAGAATCCTGGTCACAGGCAGGGCCCACGTGGGCACAGGGCTTGGCCATTGGCTTCTCAGCAAGATCCCTAAACGTCACCCTCCTTCTGCCAACTGCACCCTCTCACATGGGCACCCAGACAACAGGACACTTTCCAATACAGGACAGCCCAGGGCCAAGCAAGCCCCACGGACCCCCTCCCACGAGGGCTAAGTGCAAGTGTGCAGTGACCAGTGTAACTAGTGAGGGTGAGGGGGTTCCGCCCGGTTTGGAAAAGTAACTGGGAGAGCTCGTCAGCTTGAGATCTCATTGGCTTGAGTTCTCGTGTGGTTTCCTGAACGTGGGTCTCGCCCAGCGTGTGGGCTGTGGGAAGGTTCCTTCTCCATGGTCTGGTGACCCCTGAATTCTAGTCACCGCCTGGACCGGAACCAGCCTACGTGCTGAAACTCCTAGGACGATTCATTCACAGAGTTTGCTAGAATTTCTCAGTATTTCTGCCTGACTTTATTTTAGTCTGCAGTCTTTTGAGTTCTGGGAATTAAGCTGCCCCTTTTATTTCAGTTCGGTTTGATTCAGGGGGGAATGTTATTAAAAACCTGTTCATGTGTGCAAAGAATAAATAAATAACTGAGGCTGGGACAGGCCTGCTGGCACCTGGAAAGGTGTGGCCACTCCTGAGTGTGACAGGGAGGGCCTCACGCTACCCTAACCCTCTCCTCTTACTGATGCTGGATTAAACATCCACACACCACTCTTCCTCCGCCCCCAAGACACGGCGGGTCAGTTTCACGGACACGGACTCATCCCGTTGGTCAATGGTCCTGAATACCGCCCTCACATCCCCTTTACCAGGGAGGGAGGGAGGAAGAAGGGAGGGAGAGCCTGCATATATCCGAGGGCGGTGAGAGGAGGAAGTGCCCCAGGAAAGGATGACAGGTGCAGGAACAGAGGTGGGAGGGGTGCTGTTGACAGGCTGCACCAGCTGCACCAGCTGCACCACTTTGCTTTGGGCTCAGCTTTTTTTTTTAAAAAAAAATGACAGTCCTCTCACTGTTGGCACTGAGCCGCATCCCAGCATCCACCTGTATCTAACAGGTCCACTGGTGCACTGCCTCGACCCTGACCAGGAGAACTAGGATAGAGGAAAGTCGGACCTGGTTTGGGGCACAGGATATATTTATGGGGTGGGCCGCCCTCTCTGCGGCAATTCCTGACTGATGGACGCATGTCTTGTGAGTGCCGGTGCCCGGCATTCCGGAAGGGCCCAGAGTGTGCTGTCAGGGGCTCGGGATGCAGGTGAATGTGAGAGCAGCGGGGTCCCTGGCTTTCCCACGCCCCGCACAGCACCCGGGCCCTGGGCAGGGAGGATGAAGGATGCACAAAGCACCGCTATGGCCCTTTCATTTTATCCCTAGGGAATTTCACTTACCTGTGGGTTTGGAGTTCAGCTGGCACAGGGAGGAGCCCAAGGACAGGTCCCCAGATACGCTCCCTTTCTGAGGCCTCATCATATCCCACTGGCCGCTGCTGCCCAGGTACCTGGGCTCCAGGATCCCGCCCAGTTCTAGGGCACCCCTCGGAGGAGAGTGGGGCTGGGCAGGGTGGAGGAAGTGGGAAGAGCTGGCATCTGAGTGGCTGCTCAGCAGTGTAGCCGGGGAGGTGGGATGGACGGTGCTGACACCTGGGCAGAAAGAAACCCACGTGAGAAACAGCCTCAGAGGGGAAGGGTCAGCGAGGAAGTGTGTTTACTGAGAACAGCACCTGACGGGTGCCTGTGGCTCTCAGAGGTCCCAGCCCATGGCAGCGAACCCAGTAGATGAGGACGCATAACCTAGAGGCCATGTACTAGTTAGTATTTGCCATCAGGAGACACCAAGAGGTAGGAGACAGTCAAGTATCCAAAAGTCACCAGTGTGAGCCAAAGAAATCCAGTGACCCTGGCTCCTATCACAGCTCCTATGCCAGAGTCTACGGAGGTTCCAGGAGTAGAACTCACTCCCAAAGTCGGGGGTCACGTGGGTGATGGGATCCAGCATTGAGCACACCTGTGAGCAGGATTCTTTGTTGGCCTGTGGGAACGTGCCTTCCCCAGGAGCTAAGCAGGCAGTCTCTCCCTTTCTCCTTTGGGGCTGTTGGAGGAGAAAGGGGACATGAAATGCAGTAGACATCGTCTCCCCAACTCCTCCAGACCAGAGAGTTCTGCTGAGGCTGCAGGAGGCGCTACGGCAGGCAAGGGGGGACTGGACCTCACCCAACACGATTCCTTACTCCTGCCTGAAGAATCACTGAAGACTTGCAGGGAGGGAGGCAGGCAGGGAGGGGAGAGAACCTTTCATTTCACAGGCTGATGCTTTCACAGATCTTACGAAAACATGGGCCTTCTCTTGAGCACCATCATCTCCGCTTCTGTATAAAACGAAGGCCAGCTTGGGGAGCGATGGAGAGAGGAGGGCAGTGTTCGTATGACCGCTGTCTTTCAGGGATCACATACATGGGTGGCAAGGTGCACAGGTAGCTCTATCTAAGCAAACAGAAGCGAGGACACATTTCCTCCTGCCCAGCCAGACTCCTCTGAGTAGTTAATGGCTAATTTTTATCTCCATCTGTAACTGGTCCTCAAACTTGGCTACATAGTGGAAATACTTGGGACAATGTAAGAAAAGTATATACGGATGCCTGGGCCCCCGAGATGTTGCCTTAGTTGGTATGGAGTACAGCTTGGGCACTGGGTGTTTTTAAATCATCCCACGTGACTCTAATAGACAGCAACATGTGAGAAATAGTCATGGGTCTCTCCTTCCCCAAATTTGCAAAATACAGATATCCATTAGGATCACCGGGAGTTAGAGAACAGGATGAAAAATGTAAGTCTCTGAATGTTACCTGGGGGTCAATAAAGATGTGATTTCCTACACCCTTCAGCTCACCCCAACCCAAGGCAAAGCGCTGTTGACAGTCAGTGCGTATACTTTCTACCCAAGGTCATAGGCGCTCCCGAGACTCTCAGCACCAGGGAGCAATACTCTCATCCTCCAGCCTCCCTGGCCACACAGTGCAGAGCACATGCCCTAAATCATGCAAGGACAGCAGACAAGATTGTAGCCCCACAGTGACCCGAGAAGCCGCCATGCACTACTGGCCACACGGAAGCCTGGGTCAAAGCAAACAGGGAGCGTGGGCAAGCGATGGTCCCTTGGAGAGGACCCCACCTCAGGAGGGCAAAGAAAGGCCTACAATCCTCCTCACCAACTCGGGGACCACCCAGCTCTGGTCAGTGCCCCAGACTAGACAGGGCTTCAGCCCACAGCACCGGCCCCTTTCCAGGCAGTGCTCGCCTTCTGTTTCCCCTTGGATGAAGGCTAGTCGGCAACTATGGAGAGGGAAGGGGGAAAAGTAAGCTTGGGAACACTCTTGTCACTGGGGCACGGGACAGATTTGTTATCCATCAATTGTTGGTTCCAGAACTGCTACGGCAGTGAGTTCTAGGTCAGACACACCAGCACTTTCCAGTTTCAAGGGGCTTTCTAGTTGTTTTTAAGCACTACTAGAGAGCAAATCCATCATGTGAGGTCCTTTTCTTACTTTTCCTTAGCTGTAAGTGATCACACACACACAAAATTTTTATGATGGGGCATCTAGCCCATATATACATCAAACACTTTTCTAAAAGGTAATACACAGTCTATGAGTTCTGTGAGTTAGAGACTGAGTTCACAGCAGACATCCCTATGTTTCTGGGTCCCACTGCCCATGCGTCCCCTGTCCAGGGGCAGAAATGAACCTTGTGCAACAGGGAGAGGGGCTGTCACCCCCTTCTAATCCCTCTACCTCCACCTTGTAGCCCCCACCTGAGGGTGAAGGATCTGAACTCAACTAAAGGCATCTCACAGCAGGAGGGTATGTGGGCACAGAAAGGATCCCACGGAACGTGGCCATCTTTGTCACGGCCACTTCACCCTGCACAGGCAAGTGTGTAGTGTGTCAGCAGCGTGCCAGGCTTCGGCACACTTGGTGGGATTCCCCACTGGCAGCAGTGGGAGAGCACCAAGACTAGGGCCTGGTGAGCTAGACGCCTGTTAACTGATGGGACACACACACCAGAAAGATAACAGTAAATACATTTCCAAAAAATGTTTAAAAAGCAAGCAGCGTTATCCCGCCATCTTCCCCTGGCCATGGGCGCCCCTCGGCGTTTAGAAAACTGCCATCACACCAAAGCCATGCAGAGCGACACGGGCGGGGCGCCATCCGCAGGCTCGCATGCAGGAAGTGCTCACTTTCTCCCAGCTGCTTCTGCAGCATCTGCAGCTCCTGCTGAGCCTCGGCCAAGGAGACCGCGGGCCCCTCACAGCAGCCGAGGAGGGGAGGGCCAGTGGGGCGGAAAGGCAGGAAGCTGGGTGGAGCTGAGGGCAATGGTGCCTGCGGGAGGCTGACCCGCGTGGGTATGGAAAAAAAATGAAGGCCTAGAAACAGAAGGTCAGGGAGAAAGCAGACATCGTTAGAGAGAAAGGAATGAGTAAAAGATTGAGAAGATGAAACTGTCCCCTGAGCAGATGTCTCCTTGGGGAGTGACTCTCATTCACGGTGGTGCTGCCTGGATGGCTAAGAGTGACCACGGCCACGGCCAAGGGTGAGCACTGCTCCCCAAGGCTGGTCTGGCTGACACCCCCGCCCCCCTGCCAGGGCCATCCTGCAGACATGGTCTATGTTCATCTTGAAAACAATTGGCTACACAAGGCAACGGTATTACCGTAAGCCAGGTGGCCGTAGCCACACCCAGCATTCTGGGCACTGTCACAGCCGGCGCCAGGCCTTCCCCTGTGACAAGACTCTCCCCACCCCCTGAACTCCTTTTTCTGAAAGCATTAGGGCTCACCCTGGGGTGGTTCAGGCCGGACTAGGACTGTGGGGAAATTTGCATTATGAATGCATGCAATTCAAAGACTAATGGAAACATTTCAGAATCCTACATCAACACGTTCCTTCACCGAGTGAAAAACAGGCCTCCGTGCAGTGACATAAACACAGTGGCTCACACACCTGTCTGGGCATTTGCATCACTTGGGAAAAATTCTTAAGACACACAGACTCTTGGGGCCCCAGTGCAGACCCACTGAAACTCTGAGAATAGAGCTTGGAAATTTACTTTTAAACAAATCTTCACAGTGGTCACTATGCAGCTCATCTACAGACAGGTCATGAGGAACCCTGGGAGGTTCTGATGTTTGAATCTGTCTCCTCTTTCATTAAAAACAGTTAGAGGGCCCTGGCCAGGTGGCTCAATTAGAGTGTTGTCCTGTACATCAAAAGGTGTGGGTTCTGTCCCTGGTCAGGGCACAGACCTAGGCTGCAGTACAGAAGGCAACCAGTCAATATTGTCTCTCACATCGATGTTTCTCTCCCTTCCCCGCTCTAAAATCAATAAGCATATCCTCAGGTGAGGATTGAAAAACAAAACCAGGTGTAGGGCAGGTAGCCCACAGAGGGAGCAGAAACCAAGACTGACCGTGGAGAATGTCTCACGGGGGAGAGAATGTCTACCTTCTACATCACACCACTGCCCAACGCTGACCCGGGACCAGAGCAGTCCTGCAAGGACACCGGGCTGCCAGTGACACCGCCCAGGCTCCTTTGGGAAGCTTCTGACTTAAAGCCCTGGCCTTCCGGCCGTTTGACCCCAAAGCCTTTCCGCAGATGTCTACAGGCCAGGAGAGCAGATTTCCCATGAGTCCCTGGTCCGGCTGCTGCTGTGACTGAGAAACCTGAGCCCAGCTCAGGAAGACTCGGCCACACCCTCTTCCTCAAGATTTTGGCTGACTTGTCCTCAGGAGAGATGGGGGCAACAGAAGGAAGCACTATGCTTTCGGGGGCACCTCTATACAAACCCAACCCCACCACAAACCACACTGAAGACAGCAGCGGGAGGGGAGGAGTGTCAGAGGCGAAGACTAGGTTTGCCTTTCCCTGCAGGGCTGGTGCAGACCTGAGATTAACCAGTGCACCCTGGGCCACTACGCTCAGGCAGGTAAATGAAACGTAACCCTCCGATTGGCCTCAGGATACACACCATGTACATCTCAAGGACTGCCAACCCACTCATAATCCTGATGATTTAATATAGCAGATTCCTGTCTGAGGATTCTGAGGCCTCCCCAGCTAGGAAGTGAGCAGCCCACGTGCAGCAGAGGCTGCGGCACAGGTAAAACCGTAGTGTGTACAGGGGGCAGATGCGACTTTCCTTTTGTGCTTTCACTACTATAATCCTGCAAGAAACATTGTGCCTCTTTGCTCCCCAGGGTGAAATGAGAGAAAGAAATGATATCTTTATTCAAAAATGATTACCCAGTCCTGGGCGGTGTGCTCAGTGGTTAGTTGTCGGCCTGCACATCAAAGGGCAGCAGGTTCGATTTCCAGTCAAGGGCACATACTGGGTTGCAGGTTCAATCCCCTGGCCCAGATGCGGGGGCATGTGTGAGAGGCAACCAATCGGTGTGTATCTCTCACATTGATGTTTCTCTCTCGCACATACTGGGTTGCAGGTTCAATCCCCTGGCCCAGATGCGGGGGCATGTGTGGGAGGCAACCAATCGGTGTGTATTTCTCAAATTGATGTTTCTCTCGCTCTCTCTCTCTCCCCCATCCTCCCTCCCTTCCACTCTCTCTAAAAATTGGTGAAAAAAATATCCTCATGTGAAGATTCATGATGAAAAATAAATAAAATAAATGATTAGGTAACTATTGGTCAGAGTCTTTTGGTATGCAGCTCAAAGTCTGTTGTGAATGACTTAGTTTTCTAAAATATTTCAAACAAAGAAAAGTCAGGCACAATTAGCGAATTAGGATGGTCTCTTGATTTTTTTCCAGGATTTGATGCAAATAAGCCCCTAACAATGGAAACATCTCTCTCTGAAGAAAAGCCAAACAGGCAGCTGGGGGAGAGGAGACGAAGCCCTGCCCACTGACCACTGCATACCTGGACGGGCCTGGGCGGCCTCTTGTGGGGGGTTCTGGGGAGCAGGCAGGCTGCTGGGGTTGCTGCTGGGCTCGGCCTTAACCCCCTGAGGCGCAGTGGTTGATGATGGTGTAGAAGACAGTACAGCAGAATGACTTGAGTGATGGATGGAATCTATAAAACCCACGAATGAAAGAAAATGTTTGATGATCTACAAAGAACTGGAGCCTGGCCTTACATTTAACCGGGTACCAGGGCAGCTCCAAGCACAGGCACTGCGAGCGGGGGTCATTTCCTCCGTACAGAGAGCTCCTTGGGGAGGCAAGCCAGCACAGAGGTGATACCGGGGCCCAGAGCCCTGAAACCATGAAAATGGCATCTCCAATGACACCAGACCGGACCGGCAGCACCTGTGGGACGCTGTTCGGGAGCTGCCACTGATGCGATTGCTGCAGGAAGGGCCAGCGGCCCCACCTTGAAGGAGGTCAGAGTCTGTGCTCATAGGCAGTGGGACAGAAACGCCGGCATGGTCTCATCCTCCCCTGTGGCTCGCCTGGGGCCTAACCTCATGCACATGTTGCCAGAGACCTGGTGCCACTGTAACTAGTAGAGTCAGGAGCAGAGCAAGGATCCTAACTCACTGGGCTCTTGGTCCCAGAGCCGTGTTTAGCCTGATCCACACCAGGTGGATCTATGAGGCTGGGTTATGGAAGCTCCTCTTGGCCTACATAAAGCTGGAACCATTCAGAAAGTGGTGGCTACCTGGGTGGCCTGGCGAAGTTTTCTTCTCTTCATAGTGTGTGTCCTCGCTGGCTACGTCCATGTCGGAGCAGGCTTCCAGCTCCTCGGACAGGAAGGAGGAGCTGCTGGGCGAGCGGGGGGAGTCGGACAGGGCGCGGCTGCTGGAGGGTGAGAGGGACCGGGCGTCCAGCTTGGCCTGCAGGACTTCAATCACTTTCTCCTTCTCCTGCAGCTCCCTGCGGAGCCTGGTGGGGGAGGGAGGACAGCAGGTGAAATCGAGGTCCCCAGACCAGCAGGTCCTGACTGGACCACATGGGAAAAGCCACAGAAGTCAAGGGAACATTCCTGCAGAGAATAATGGAAGTGACCCATCTCTGATTAGGGGCGGGGAGCAGGCGGGGCACAGAGGGAGGGGAAGCAATCGCTATCAGGGCACTGGCCACACCATACGTTGAGGACTAGCGGGGATGGGCCAGCCCTCTAAGGCACTACTGCCTAGAGCAGTGATGGCGAACCTATGGCACGCGTGTCAGAGGTGACACACGAACTCATTTTTTTTTTTGTTGATTTTTATTTGTTAAAAGGCATTTAAATATATAAAATAAATATCAAAAATATAAGTCTTTGTTTTACTATGGTTGCAAAGATCAAAAAATTTCTATATGTGACACGGCACCAGAGTTAAGTTAGGGTTTTTCAAAATGCTGACACACCAAGCTCAAAAGGTTCACCATCACTGATCTAGAGTATGGTCCCCACTATGGCTGCAGTCTGAGAACTGTTGGCTACCCGTCTCCAACTAGACAGCACAGAATGGAAGGAAAGCATTGAGAGCCATATGGCAGCTTGACCTCGCCTTAACATCCAGGAGCAATACAGATGAAACCATCTGCATGACTGAGGTACAGACCACCAGTGTGTCTGGGATTAGAAATGAAAATAAAGGCAAAAACAAAAGCACCCTGTCCTTCACCAGGACATTTGGAGAAGCACCGTGCGGTCTAAAGCACACTCATGACACAAAGGGGCTCCAACCAGCAGCTACAACAAACTCCGAGCCCATGAGTCCCTGTGCATGAGAAGGCTATATGCAGCGACCCACAGAAAGCTGGTGTCTGAGGCACCGAGCTTCCCAGGGACCGCAATGTCCAGGCCTTTTCCACTAAGAACTGTAATATAATTCTTTTTTCCTAAGGACATTGGGTGGCTAGGAACTAGCTGCCAACTCAACTGGGGGAGGAAGGGGAGAGTAAGCCAACTGGGCAAAAAGTACACCCTGGTCTTTAAACACACAGCGGGAAGCAGAGAAGACCCTGGGGGTGCAAAACCCCTAAAACATGGTTAGTAAGTATACTTTTAATCCGACTGACTCTAGGTTACCAAGCCTGGAGAACAAATATGCAAGTAGAAACCAACAGAATCATATCAAAAGAGAGTAAAGAATTAGGTTAAAGACAACAGTGAAGTGTCCCATGAATAAATGAATTAATTACAATCAACATTCCCTGCTCTACCCCCTGCTCCTCCCCAGTTTGTGAGCCATTCCTCAGGCCTCATTCCTGGTCCCTTTACCAGAGCCCACGTGGAATTACCTGAGGGCCAACGGCTCAAGTCCAGCTCGATCTTTCTCACTTTTATGATGCTCTGCAAACCAAATTCAGAAAAGAAACGGTAAAACAAACAGGTTCCACTTCACACATTACAAACGCAGGGGCCTACTTGTGTACAGAACGATTACTCTGTGTGTGTCCAGGGTGTGTGGGAGCATCATCTGGGAGGCCTCAGATTCCGTCTTTAGGGAAGGGACCAGCCAGGTTTCCTGAGCTCACCGCAGACCTTCCCTGGTCTGGCGATCCCCACCATGATTTCCTCTGCCCTAAATCTACGCAAACAAGTGTAAAAGGTATGTGTCCAGCTTCCCTCTAGGACAATCCAGCCTCCACGCCTGCCACACACTGACTCCCCGTTGTACGGCTTTCATGTAGAACCTACTCTTGCTCTGAGATGACGAACAGCCCTGTCCCACTTTGGCACCTGCTATCGGACGTGGGGTGTTTGGCCCCAAAGACTGATTCTGCTGTACCCAGGACATTCTCTCTAAGCAAAGAGCTTCAATAATAACCAACTTTCCTAGCCCTTGCCCTATGGCCATTGGTGCCTACACCATGTCCAAAAGGGCATGGTGCTTTAGCTATGTTTGAATGAGTTTTGTGTGCAATACATGAAGAAACACAGACACCAAAGACATAAGTCATTTGCCCAAAGCAAGTTGATGGCAGCACCTAGGCCAGAGCTTGGGTCTTGAATTCGAAGTTCCAGGCTCTTTTCACTGTATAAGGTCCTCTGAGCACCTCTCTTTCTTCCCCTCAGCGCTGGATGGATATAGCCTCCTTCCCAAAGTTCACATTCCATGAAGGATGACCTTTCTACAGTGGTAACCGTGGCCTCTTCAACCCTGTGTGTGCCTCTGCGGTGCCCCCCACCTCCTTACTCTAAGAGGCCTGATCTTGTAAGGGCCCCCAGGGAATGAAGTGGAGGCTGAGAGTGCTGAGCGGGTCCCACAGCCCTGGGGCCAACGTACTGGTGCTGAGTTTGCTGGTGAGCCGCTCTGTCAGCTGGCTTCCCTGGGCAAGTTGCTCCCGGAAGCTCTGCCCCAGGTAGTAGTCAATGTCATTGCTCCTGAGGAGGTCCTCAAAAGACTTGACTGTGTCTTTTGCATGCTGGATGAGGAGATAACAGATACCTCTCCCTTCTCGAATTTTCTGGCGTAGGTAGGATAGTTCTCGAGCCTGATCCTGAATCAGGGAATCATATTTCCTAATGCAGGGAAGAGAAGGAAAGAGTAAGCATGAAGACGAGGGAATGATAAGTTATGGGGGCTTCCATGGAGATTTCTGTGAGCACTTCTCTAAGGATCTCCCCACCAAGTGGAATTCTGGCACATAAACCAAAGGACGTATTTAAGAGTAAATTCTGCTCTGAGAGACTATTGCATCAAACAATTTATGCCACTTTCTTCCACTGTTTTATATATGTTAGGCATAGGGCCCAAAAATGAATCATAAGGCTCTAGCCGGTTTGGCTCAGTGGATAGAGCGTTGGCCTGTGGACGGAAGGGTCTGGGTTTGATTCCCGTCAAGGGCACACATGCTGGGTTGCGAGCTTGATCCCCAGTGCGGGGCGTGCAGAAGGCAGCCAATTGATGATTCTCCCTCATCATTGATGTTTCTATCTCTCCGTCTCCCTTCCTCTCTGAAATCATATATATATATATACATATTTTTAAAGTAAGAAAACAGACTCAGAAAGACTAGATAGGTTACACAGCTAGTGATTACCAGAGCCAGGATTCAAACCCAGGCAGCCTACCTTCAGTCTTACTATTACACTGTGCCCACTGTCACTTTCCTAATACATTCCCAGGAGGAAATCCCAGAGACCTGGTATTGCCCATTCAGGGTCGCCACCCAATGCCCTGGATGCCTCCCAGTCCTTTCTTCAGACTTGGTCGACCACTGAAATAAGTGCCCTGCTGGGTTTTCCCTTCCACCTGCCTGGCTACCCTACTGCAAGCACAAACTCCGCCATCCTCCATCTGGTAAGGGTCCGAGGAACGCCCTCCTCACCCAGGCCACGAGGCTGATCTCAGCTCCTCGGCCAGCTTCCCTTCCAGCCCGGACTTCGGGAGCTGGGCCTCCAGCTGGGACACCCTCTGAATCAGACTCTCCAGGTCCTTCTTGGCCTGAAGGCCTGGGGGGTAGAAAGCCCCCGTGCCATCAGACAGCCACCCCTCGTCCTCATCAGTGACACTGTGAGGTGAAGATCCCTCGAGGGTGCCAACAGCCTTTAGCTTGCGGGGTCTCTCCAGACTGGACGAGTAGTCGCTGGTGACGGAGAGAGACCGGACCCGGCTCTTGAGGTTTTGAATGATCTTGTTGGCGGTCTGCAGCTGGGCCTTCAGATCTTTGATGTCCTTCCGGAGGACAGAGATGTCTTCGGACTTTCCATATGCCTGGAACTCCTCCTGCTTCCCCAGCTGGCTCTCCAAGGGCTTCCTTTTGTGGGAGCCGGCCAGGGTCGGGCCCAGGCGCTCCTGCTGAGAGCACAGCCCCTCCATGAGGACTGTTTCCCTGGGGCTGTCCTGCTCCTCGCACTCTGGGAAAAGACAAAGCCGCCTTCCTGAGTAAAGCTGGGCATGCTCCATAGCCCCGCCCTTCAGGGGAGGCAGTGTGGTCCCAAGGACAATGGTGAGCGTAACATCTGAGCAGCTCTTTATTCAGCCCTGGCATGGGACTAGCATTCAAATACAGTATTACTATCCTCACAACAGCCCTGCAAGTCAGGGGTGGCCTCCCTCTGTTTTACAAAGTGTTTTTTCTCCTCTTTTAGATTGCAAGTTGGTGGGTATCCCTACAATCAAAGTCCTTTTATAGTAGAAATACAATTTTTTAACTTATGGTTTGCATATTCCCCAAAGCTCATTTGGTCTTTTCATTACTAAGTAAGCCTTAGCATTTTCCCCTATACTAATCAGTTGGCTAGAACAGTGTTTTCTTTAAAGTAGTGTGCTGGAAACTACATCTGGGAATTCAAACTCACACTCGGCTTCATCTGGGGCAAGAGCTTTCACCCAAACTTCCTGTCCCTCTCTGGTCCTGTGTCCTCTTGTTTACAACACCCCCTTAACCCCCTCACCCCTCACCCCTCCTCACCAGGTGTGGGACTGGCCAAAGCACCCAGATGTGAAGGCTGAACGGGGAGGGCAGGTGAGCCTTACCTGGGCTGGTGCTCTCCTCCCGCTCAGCTTCATTCTCACTCCGGCCACAGGTCTCGTAGCCCAGGTCCTGGAGGTCCACCTGAACCTGCTTGCTGTCCTGCTTCACCAGGGATTCACCTGTTGGAGAGACAGAAGGTATCTCACTCGGTGGCACACACGCTGGCCCTTGGAGGCGGGAAGTCAGATCCAGAGTGGGATATACGCTTCTTTGGGCTCATGGAGTGGAAGAGACCACCCTCTCCAGGCAGCATGACTTCCCTCCACCAGGGTGAGCCAGTGTTTGCCACTGAATGTCTCACCGACGTTGACCCAGACGTAGTTGGGACCAGACATCGTTGACAGCAGATATTGCATACTCTCATCCCTAGAAACCCCAGTGAAACTAGCAAGTGCCTTAGCCACAGAAGCTCAGGAAATACCTGAATGACCCTGAACTAACTTAGAATCCCAAGACATCTAGCTCTGCACTGTCCAATATGGTAGCTACTAGCCACATGTGGAGACTTGACTTGGGCTGGTGTAAAGTTAAATAAAAGGTAAACTTCCCAAGATGAACTAGCCCCATTTCATGTGGTCAATACCCACACGTGACACAGAGAACACTTCTGTCACTGCAGCGCCTTCTGCTGGAAAGCACTGATTCTCGACCAACAGTGATGATATATTTTGGAAGAATCGGACGTGGTGCCGAGGAACAGCAGAGAAACTATCAGTATGTGCTGAGTGAAGAAAGGCCGTGTGCTGACCACATCAGAGGTCATCAAATCCAGCTGTTAGTCCACTGTCTCCCTAACTCACTGCAAACTGCTTTATCCATCCCTTCTTCTCTGCCACCTGCAAATTAAAGTTAAATATCCTCCTCCACGTTGGTAGGACCATGGTCAGGGGTAAGTCTGTTTCAAGGTTGGGGAAGACATGAAGTCCGCAAGGCATGTGACTTCTCAGCGGGAAGACAGACGCTTGGTGGCGGGAACACAGGACTTACTGAGCATGAGCCTGAACTTCTCCAGCTGACTGGCCTGGGCGGACACAGTGGCTTCCGCTACCAGCAGCTTCTCCTGCAGATCCTGATAGCGCTGCCTGCACTGAGCCAGCTGGGAGCGCAGGTGCTGGGTGGGTCTTGGGAGGCTCAATTCCGATGGTGTCCCAGGGTCACGGGCTTGGGGCTGGTCATCCAGCTGTGAAGAGGAGCCAGCACAGGGCAGTGAAGGGATCGGGGCAATCTGAGGTCAGTCCCAACAGCAAGGCCCACTTCTCCTCTGAGCCCCATGGACTTTACTCATGTGTCTGCCACAGCCCTGCTCATGCCATTTGGCAGCATCTTGCTTTCCAGATGGAGCCTGGGGAGCTGGGATAATGTTTTATTCACCTCGGGATCTACAGCACACGGCACGGGGCCAACCGAGTCTTCGGAGGAGCCCTCAGTAAATGTTTGTTCAACAGTTGGAAAAAGAAGGGGCAGAAACCTCCACTCATCT